TTTTTTTTGAGGCTTAAATGTTTATGATTTCTTCATGTAGGTCTCAAACCAACACATTTGGGTAAATCTATCGAAGAGTTGTATCCTCATTTGTGTAGTTTGGTATGTTTGAATATCAGTAAATATTTTGCGATTTGTTCCTGATCATTTTTTACCATGGAAATATTCATATTATAGAATGAAAAATATGATGTTCATTTATGTGGTGAAGGAGGTGAATATGAGACATTTACTTTAGATTGCCCATTATTTATCAAGAAGCTACATGTGTAAGAGTTTGAATATTGTTCACAATTGTATAATGATTTCTGATATACTTATTAAATTCCTTGATCATGATATGAATATTTTAATAGTGAAGAAAGTGAAATCATTATGCATTCAGATAATGCATTTGCAGAAGTAGCTTATCTTCGATTAAAAAAATTAGTTGTGATGGATAAGCCGGCCAGCACTACTACGATGACGAACTTGATTAAAGTTCTCGCATGGAGTGATGGCTTTGAAGATATTTTGAGTAAGATAGAGGTATTGTTTCTTCAAATAGGTGTTACATCTGCTTTTAATTTTTATAAATCAGATTATTGGAGTGCTTAAGGTGTTTAAAGGCGAGAATGTATTAAATGCCATTTCGAGAATAGAGACTGATTACGTCCCAGAGATTAATAATGATTACATGGGTAATTAACTAATTACAATATATTCCGAAAATGAGCATCCTTTGTATAGTCTTCAAAATAATCCTATATATATATGTTTTAGTTTCACTATTTCTCTCATTTATGGTATCTGAAATTAAGACCTATCTAGGAAGGATACTTATTTTCTGGAACATACTACCGTCAATAGAAATCAAGTAGATTGACATTTTTAAAAAAAATTAATGCTTTAACTTTCACTGCTCATATTTCGAAACTATTCTCATGATTTAATAGTCAAAAGAATCTTTGATCTTAAACTTCCTTTTGACTATTAAATAATGAGAATAGCTTCGAAGTTCAGCGAGATATGAGCAGTGAAAGTTAAAAGCATTAATTTTTGTAATATCAATCTGTTTGATTTTTGTTGACGGCAGCCCATATTAGTATATTATAATATTTGACAATTAGTACGTTTTAACAAACTTGTAACAAATATTTACCATTTAATTTTTTGGTAGATCTTTACACTGTGCATGCAAACTCACCTTACTTTGCCATCTCTGGAACAACTGCTTACAGTCATAAAAGTTCTCAAACCAGTCAATTTCAGTTAGATACGATTGAAGAAGAAACGCGCGTGTGTATGAAGAACCTTGAAGGTAGCTAGATTTGACACGTAAACTCATATATATATATATTTTGTGAAAGTACGAGAATTAATGCTAAGTTTTACAATTTAGAAAGATTGGTTAAATTAGGATTAAACTGGACCGATGTCATAAATATGAACGTTTTTATCAAAGATATGAATGAGTTTGGAAGAATGAATGTTATTTATAAATCATTTTTTGATATAAATCCACCAACAAGGTAACTTTTGATTTCCTTAAGTTCTTGATGATAAATTACTTGTATAATAATAAAAGATTGCATTAGGACATGTGTTGGATGTAATCTTCCATCTCCGGCGAAGATTCAAATCGATTTAGTTGCTATAAAATTTAGAGATTATTCAAACATTAAACCAGTAAACACTATGCATGTCCAAAGCATGTCATATTGGGCACCTGCAAATATTGGGCCTTATTCTCAAGCTAAAATTGTAAATTCTAAACCAAAATTCCAGAAATTGAGGATTCTAAGTTTTCTTTATCGATTATAATTTTTTTTTTTTGTTTTTTTTTAGATAAACAATCATGCATTTATAGCAGGACAGATAGGTTTAATTCCAGCATCTTTAAGATTTCCAACCCCTCTCAGTCTGCATTCCCAAACTATACTTTCGTTAAAAAATTTAGAAAGGATCACGTCAGTTCTGGAACTAGATGTTTGGAAATTTTCGGTGGGGTGTATTTGTTTTGTCGATGAGGACACGTCTTTTGAAGTTGTGCAGCAAGCTTGGAAGTGTGTTTGTGAATGGAGGAAGGGTGATGTGAGTTGATACATGTATAAATGATTGGATTTTTTT